CTACACTCTGCTCGTCCGAACCAGCAGCCACAGCCACTTCTGCAATAAAGCGATCCAGTCCAGTAAGGCGAGACTCTTGGATCAGATATCTCACTGGCAACAGGTCATGGTCAGAAGCTTTCAAATAATCAGTGAAACCCTCAGGTAGCCATGGGCTCAATTCCCAGGTTATCAGAGACCTTAGTAGAGCAATGTTGTCTCTCTACAAACTGCTAACATTTTTATATTCACTCCAACTGACCCTCACAGGTTATGTGGCAACCAGCTTCCTCCCAACTTCAACTCCATCCTCACCCACTCTCTCGATCTCCCCACCTCAGATCTACTTTTTTTTTTTTTCCAGACAGAGGGAGAGGGAGGGAGAGAGAGAGAGAGGGAGACATTGATGTGAGAGACACCAGTTGGTTTCCTCCCGCATGACCCTGATCAGGGCCAGGGACCCAACTGTAAGCGAGGTATATGCCCTTGACTGGAATTGAATCCGAGACTCTTTGGTCTGCGGGCAGATGCTCTAACTGCTGAGCCAAACTAGCCAGGGTTCAGATCCACTTAAAAAAAAAAAAAATCAGCCTGGCCAGTGTGGCTCAGTGGATTGAGCCGCATCCTATGGACTGAGAGGTCCCAGTTCGATTCCCGGTAAGGTCACAAGCCGGGATTGTAGGCTTGATCCCCACTGGGGGACATGCAGGAGGCAGCGGATCAATGTCTCTCTCTCACATCAATGTTTCTATCCCCCCTTCCCCTCTAAAAAAATCAATAAAAACATACTTTAAAAAAAAATCAATATTGACTATTAGAAATTTTGCTTGGACTAAGCCTTAACTACTATATCTAATATTTTAATAATTCAGCTATTAGTAAATACTAATTACAAAAAATAACCTTTTCATTGCATAAGCACCTCTGGCTGAAGAAAAACAGAAAGTTGAACAGAAGTCTTTGTTTAAATTACCAACTAAAATATGGAAAATAACAATAACCTTGATTTCTGTATAAAATTTTCTTTCTAAGTTTTTTTCTCCAGGGACATGAGCAAAATACCTTATAGCCTATAAATATTAATGTTTTCTCTCCTCTTTCCTTATCTAAATTCCACCTATCCCTTAAAGGCTCCGGTACTTGAAGAAAGCCTTGTTTTACCTTTTTCCATGAAGGAGATTTACCTTCTCCATGAAGTCTTAATAATGGCTAAAATTTATAAAGCACTCTATATGGCAGGCACACTGGCCTACACACCTGGAATGTATTAACTCACTTAACCCTCACAATGATCCTATTGTCACTGGAGGGATAAAAGGGCCAAATCCCTCCAATACTCCTGGGCAGGAGGTTCTTGCAACAGTTTCAGAAAATAAATTTTCTAAGACTCACATGGGAGAATGGATGGTTTTTATTGGCAAGGAATTACACTTGTGGGGTTGCAAAGTCCCATGTCCCTCATTTCAGTCCCAGAAGAGGGGCAGTGTGGGTTTAGCAAGACCAGAAATAAAGCTGTGTCCAGATTAGGATCAGTCCAGATTCAACCCATTAGTCCATTGTATGGGTCCCACATGGCTGCAGGTCACGTGGGGAAATATAGGGTGTGGGAGCCCCAAAAGCAGTCCAGCTCAGCATGGACAGCAAGAGAGAGAGGTCCTTTGTCTAGATCAAATACTCGGGTTTCTCACTTGCAGTGGCCACACCTTTTCCACCCACTAAATCACTCCCAGGTGTGATTGACAGGCAGGTAACTCCCATGTCACTCAGACTGCATCTAGACTGCCTTTGTCCAGACTCTTCCCCACAGATCAGCAGTGAGTGAACAGACCTAGGATGCTTTATTAGCTAATCTTCCCTTTACTCCTTTCCTGTTGAACAATAACTAGTTTATTTCGCTGGTGAAACTATATGGAATTATTTCCCCCAATTTACAGATGAGGAAACAGATGCACAGAAAGATCTGCAGTAATTTTGTCCAGGTTACATAGCCAGTAAATAAGTGGTAGGCCTAAGATTTTAACTCAGGCAATTTTATTCAAGGCATTTCACTAGGTCATCTGACCTCATCTCCTGAAGACTTTCCAAAGACTACAGCTCACCTAATCTAATCTCACCCTACCGTGCTGTTATAAATGCCAAAATATTTTTAAAATTTGTATTAGATTTTTAGAGAGAGGAAGAGAGGGAGACAGACACTGACTTGTTAGTGTACTCATTTATGCATACATTGGTTTATTCTTATATGTGACTTGACAGGAATCAAACCTGCAACCTTGGCATATCAGGACAACACTCTAACCATAACCAACTGAGCTACCAGCCAGTGACCACAATAATTTTATTATACTCTCTATACTCTTTCTTGTTTTCTTATTTGTTTCATATGTGTTTGCACTTCTTCTCCAAGTAAATTATAAATTCCTTGTAGGCAAGGCAACCATATTTGCTTCTTGCCCCTACTTTTAGCAGGGTTGTTCAAGCACTCAATATACACTACTTAGCTGATCTTTTTAAAGTCCTGGCTTCTATAATACTATAAAGACAGATTTTATTTATTTATTTACATTTTTTTGGTTAATCCTTACCTGAGGATATTTTTCCATTGATTTTTAGAGAGAGAGAGAAAAACATCGATGTGAGAGATACATGTATTGGTTGCCTCCTGCAAGACATGACTGGGGCTGGGGATCGAACCTGAAACCCAGGTATGTGCTCTTCACCAGGAATCAAATCTGTGACCGTTCAGTCTGCAGGCCAATGCTCTAATCACTGAACCAAACAGGTTAGGGCAAGACAGATTTTTTTAAATGCAAAATGTCATTGAAAATGGAGAAAATTGAAATATTCAGGCATAATGACAAGGAAATTCTACAGAGAGAAAACTGGGCATTGCTACAAACTCTAAAGAACATGGAGTTCACAGGCTATGATTCAGCAAAATTACTTTAACACCTGAAGAATAGCTCATGCCATCAGCGTCAGATTTAGCATTACTAAAGTTAGGAAACTGACTACATATATTTATTTTTCTTCTTATTGCATCTCTTCCTGGTGAGTCATATCTGTAAAACTGACAGACCAATGTATTTCCATTACCTAAAAGAGAACTAACACCTAAAAAAAATCAGATGAAGTTTCTTCTGTATATGCATAATCAGTAAGTGACAACCTGTGCTATCAGGAAACAGCACACACAGAAAAATACTAAACTCAGAAAAGACTTCCAGGCCTGATAAGCAGAATAAATTTTAAATAATGTTTTTCATCCCATCAAAATGAAAAAATTAAAATGGGAGTTCAAAGACATGATCTGTCTTATACCCATATACCAAGACAGTTCGTACATAGTCAACCAAAAATCTTAATACTGGATGCCAGACCACAAATAAATAAAAATGCCCTTAATAAAACAGTATTATTACTCAAACATTTCAATGTCATTGACTGTAAGTCTAACAAAAATCTAGGGGCTACAGGTCTTACGATAATTTTCAGAGGATACAGGAGAAAAGTTTAGGATTTATGGGTTTCTTACTGAACACTACTTTTCAAATATAGTTCTAAAATAGTTTTCATTTACACACACATATAAATACTAAAAATCTTGCTAGCTCAAGGCACTCGAGCTATCTCCAAAAAAGAATAATGTAATCCTGAAACGCAGGATTTAACTTTCTTTCAGCACCTGTTAGCTTTCCAGAGCCAAGTAAGTTCTGTGGCAATAGGAGCAAAAACAAACCAGTGTTTTTTGTAGGCTGAGCTGGGGGGTGGGGGGGAGGGCTATACACTGTAAATAATTAGAGAGTATGTAATGCCACTGAATTGCACACTTAAAATGGTAAAGCCCTGTTCCATATGGCTCAGTGGGTTGGATTTGATTCCCAATCAGGGTGCTTATTATAGGAGACAACCAATCTCTCTTTCTCTTTTTCTCTCTCTCTGTCTCTCCCTCCCTCTCTAAAAAAAATCAATGAACATATCCTTAGGTAAAGATTTTTTTAAAACAATCATTAAAATAAAATAAAATAAAAATGGTTAAAATGGTCAGAAAAACTAAACATGAGATTTTTGAGTCAATAAAGTAAAAAAATAAAATTACTCTGCTTTTAGCCCTGGCCAGTTTTGCTCAGTGGTTAGAGCGTCGGCCCACAGACCAATGAGTCGCGGGTTCGATTCTGGTCAAGGGTACGTACCTCAGCTGCAATTCGTTCCCAGCCCTGGTCGGGTCACATGGGAGCAACCAGTCGATGTGTCCTTCTCACGTCAATGTTTCTCTTTCTCTCTCTCCTTCTCTTGCCTTCCCTCCCACTATGTTTGATGATAAAATAGAAAAATATCATTGGGTGAAGATTTAAAAAAAAAATTACTCTGAATTTACTATAAAATGGTATTCAGGGATGCACACTAACACCACCCTATTTTCAAATAACAGTTAAGATTGCCCTCCCTCAAAATACAGATGCTGCATTATATAAAGAATTGGAAATTAATTATAGGTCCCTTCTTGAGATATGGAAGACAAGTAAATATCTTATCCTTAATGTGGCCTCCTAATTCCAATTATACCAAACTACCATGTTCATTAGAGGTTAATTCCTAGAAACCAGTCCCTCTGTGTAAAGTTGAAGACTGTGACTTAATGTAACTTCTATAACAATTCATTCTGGCCTGCTCTTTACTTGGCTATCATGCCACTAAAGCAGAATCTGCAACACTGTTATTTCAAAAACACAAGCTTTTTATTTTCACACCATTATATACAGCAAAGCAGAGAACAGAATTCAAAACACCACCAGATTTGAAACAGCATGGCTAAAGGTTAGTACTTTAATCAAAGGTTTACCAAAAGAAATATGCCAAAGCCCCAGCTGTTGAAAACACAAAACCATTCTAAAGGGCTACTCTTGCCCACATTTTCCCTATCCATTCTGATGTTTTGCTGCATGGGAAAGTGAAAATATGTCATGATTTTAACATCCACCCACTACCCGAAGCATCCCTATGCACCAAGGAAAACTTACTTCTGCAAAATGTGTTGATGTGCTACTGTCCATTCGGCTGCCACCACCACCTAAAAAACTAAAAAGAAAAAGGAGTAAGTGATTCTATTCCCAGAAACGAGATTCCCTACCAGAAGCTAAGCAGAGAATGTTACAGTGAGAACAAAGCCTAACAAGGAAAAAATAACTCATCTCAACATGACACCTACAAAGAAAATTATGGACAAACTGACACGTGGATTATTCTATAAAAAATTATGACTATAACCTTGGCCGGTAGCTCAGCTGGTTGGAGCATCATCCCAATGTGCCAGGATTGCAGGTTAGATCCCCAGTCAGGGCACATGCAAGAATCAACTGGTGCCCTGGCTGGTTTGGCTCAGTGGTAGAGCCTGTGGACCTATGAGTCCTGGGTTCGATTCCAGCCAAGGGCACGTACCTCAGCTACGGTTCGACCCCAGCCCTGGTCGGGGTCCTGCGGGAGGCAACCAGTCGATGTGTCCCTCTCATGACGATGCTTCTCTCTCTTTCCCTGTCTCTCCCTCTCTTTCTACCTGAAGATAAACAGAAAAATATCTTCAGGAGAGAATTTAAAAAAAAAAAAAAAGAATCTACTGGTGGTCCCCTGACCTGTTTGGCTCAGCACTTAGAGTTGTCAGCCCGAAGACCTAAGGGTCATAGGTTCCCAGTTACAGGCATGTACCTTGGTTGCAGGTTCGATCTCCAGCCTGGTTGGGGTCATGCAGGAGGCAACCAATTGATGTCTCTCTCTCATATCAATGTTTTTCTTCCTCTTTCTCTCCCCACCTTCCCTCCCTTTCACTCTATCTAAAAATCAATAGAAAAATATCCCCATGTGAGGATTAACAAGTGGAGCAACAAATCAGTTTCTCTCTCAAATCAATAAGTAAAAATTTTTTTGAATTATAACTACAAAATCAAGTGAAAAATTGAGGTGAGGGACCACCAAAGAGAAGGACCTTGAAATCTGACTTAGCAAAAGAAAAATAAACATTTATCCTCAAAGAGGCTAAGAGATAAGATTCTCAAAATAGTGTTTCATTAAAAAACCATTCCACCACCAAATAAACACATTTGAAAACACAATAGTTAATATCTCTTGGAAATATAAGGGGTCTGATACTATATTTAGCACATTATAAAAAGGCTCAACAAATATTTTTTTCTTCTCCTGATAGTTTATCCTGTTCTTTGATTATCCTACTCATCCTTCAGGGCCCATCTCAAATGTAATACCCTCCATTAAGTCTTTTTTTTGTTTGTTTAGAGACAGAGGTGGGGAGAGAGACATCAATTGGTTGCCTCCTGCACACACCCTGACCCAGGCAGGGATTGAACCTGCAACCCACGACCCTTCGGTACACAGGCTAATGCTCTAACCACTTAACAATCCGGCCAGGACACAAGTCCAAATGAATTTTAGAGGGCATTTGTAAAAGTTGGGGACAGTGAAACAAGAAAGGGCTGGGGAAATGAGCCTAGGCTGGTGTACTATGGCTGACTAAGAAGTCAGAGAAAAGGGAACCTTAGCAACAGGTTCAGGGGATTTGCCCTGGGATGAACTGCCACTGCCCATTGCTGCCCTGGTTGCAAGTGTGGAAAGAAGGTAGGGAGGTGATGGCTTGCTCCTGAGAGGGAGAGCTCGTGCTGGACCTTTGTTTTTTCAAATCCTTACCCGAGGACATATTTGCATTTATCTTCAGATAGAGTGGGAGGGAGAAAGGGTGGAAGAAAGAGAGAGAGAGAAACATCGATGTGAAAGAGACACATCGACTAGTTGCCACCCACACAACCCCAACCTGGGCCAGGGATGCACAAACAGCAACTGATGGACATTTGTTTTGAGGGGTTTTAAAGGCTGGACATTTAATGGGAGGCCTTAGGGGAGGATCATAATAGAATACTCATCAGCTTTATGCTGATTTACCAAAATGAGGTTTGTTCTCTTAACTTTATGTTTCTGGGTGTGGTTGGCAAATGGCACTAACTGGATTTCTGCTATCTATCTTCCTGAGTAGGGTGATTTAAGCTATTTACCCTGTGGATGGGGAAAAGTGCAAAGCATTTATTCTTAAGTGTCCCTGGTTCAGGGAAGACAGGATTTACTAGATGGCTGCAAACTGCTTGGCATCTAGATTTTCTACTGAGCTGTAAACTGCTGTCTGTTTCCCTATTCCGCTTGTCCTGGCTTACTAGCCTATCTCAGGTAGAGTAATTACAAATTGTGCTTTTGAACCTGGTTGGTTTGGCTCTGAGGTTAGAGTGTGGGCCCTCAGACCAAAGGGTCCAGGATTTGATTCCCAGTCAAGGGCACTTACCTGGGTAGCAGGTTTGATCCCCAGCCCTAGTCAGATCGTGCGAGAGGCAATCGATCGATGTATCTCTCTCACATCTACGTTTTTCTCTCTCTTTCTCTCGGTCTCTCTCTCCCTTTCCCTCCCTCCCACTCTTCTGAAAATCAATGGGAAAATATCCTCAAATGAAGATTAACAAAAAAAAAAGTGTGTTTCTGAAATTCAAGACAACCTTAGAACAACATTTTTAAAGTAAAAATTGGCTTGCACTGTGTTCAAGTGATTTATTTTGCACTAAGAAATGGGTGTGAGACATGATGTGATTTAAAATTTCATCCCTTGATGAAACTGCTTGAGAGTGGCATGATTTTTCTTTCTCCTTTTCTCAGCCTGCTCACCCCTATGAAGTTTCCTATCTGAAAGTTAATCTTCTGAAATTCCTTTGGAATTTAAGGAAACCCAATCTGGTGTGTGAACAAAAGAGATTTAGCATTTGCTTTCCCTCTGACACTCAACAGCCTAGGAGAGTTGAAGTAGCAACAAACAAGTTCTAGTGCTTACCAGGCAAAGCAAACCCAGCCATTCTTGTTTGGTTGCCTACTAAGTAATTACCTTTGGAAAAGTTCACCTTTGCTATTAAAAATGCTACTTCTCTCTTTCAGAAGGATTGAAAGGTGTGGGGAAATTGAGGGCAGAGAGGCAGTTAAACTCGAAGAGGCAAGTTAAAAGGAGTAGGCATTTAGTTAAAATAGAAGGCTAGATTATCAAGGGAGCAGGTTGTTAAGGGAGTAAAGATGAATAATAGTTTAAAAAAAAACAGCTTAGACCTGGCCAGTTTGGCTCGGCGGTTAGAGCATTGGCCTGCAGTCCGGAGAGATCCGGGTTCGGTTCCCGCTAAGGGTGCATACCTCGGTTGCAGTTTGTCCCCGGCCCTGGTTGGTCGTGCGGGTGGCAGCCACTCGATGTGTCCCTTTCACATCGATGTTTCTCTCTTTCTCATCTTCCTCGCTCTCCCTCCCTTTCTATCTGAACAAAAAATGGAAAAATGTCCTCGGGTGAGGCTCAGTGGTTATAGCGTCGGCCCAGGAACCAAAGAGTCATGGGTTCAATTTGTTCAATTCCCAGTCAAGAACATGTTCCCCCCTTCCCTGTGCAGGAGGCAACTAATCGGTGTCTCTCTTGCATTGATGTTTCTCTCTCTCTCTCTTTCCACCCTCCTCCCTCCCCTCCCTTCCACTCTATCTAAAAATCAATGGAAAAATATCCTCCGGTGAAAATTTTTTAAAAAAAGAAGGAAAACCACCTTGATGGCAAACATATTTTTCATGTTTCAGTGAGTGTTTCTTCTCTCTTTCCACCAAGGAAAATAAATGCATCTAACAGACTTTAAAGAGTTTGCAACAGTCTATTTCTTTATAGAAAGAAAAATAAATACTTGAAAAAAAATGTCTATTATGATATGCTAGTGAATACTTAGAATTGGCTGTCTGGGGTCTAGGAGGAGATGGGAGGAGAGGCCCTGATTTGTAGTGTTTGTCAATTTCCTTGGTGTAAATACTCCTTCACCCAAAAAGACTCCATTTTATTAATACAAGTATATGTAGAGTGCTTACTATGTGTCAGACATTATACAGAGCACTCATCACTTTTGAAAACCCTGCAATGCCATATTTTATATTAATAACTTGAAAATAAAAGTTGTTAAATTAATATCACATGTGTAAACAATAAAATCACTGACTAATCCCAAAGTCAGGGAGAAACAATGTCCCCGTGAGATCTGCAAAGGGAGGAAACTGGCTAAGGGTTTGGGGAAAGGGGGATGGAAAAAGAACCGGAAAAACCTCTGGATACTACTTTTACTTCCAGAGACACACGTAAGTACGGAAAAAGTACTCACACTCGTCCCAATGATATAAAGTCCACAAACTACAGTAAACAGCTTTCATTTTGAGAATTACAATACCAATTCAGGCACTGTGCTGAGCTTATGGAAGAAATAAAAGGGGTGGGAGAGAACAGAATAATAGAGAACGAATCATAGCGATGTACTAGCTATAGTTATAAGAAATGTTAATCATCCTTTGGAATGTTAACTGTGATTGTTTTGTTCTGATTAAAGAAAGCCCATTCTGACCAGGCTGGGAGGTGTCTGCCCTGGGAGTTTTACCTCAGGAATGCTGTCCATTCTCCTTATCTGAGAACAAGGAAAAACTGCTCTACATCATGGAAAGACTAACAACCTTGGAGCCCTGGAGGGGGTGCACTGGAGACAACCCTTCTAGGCCCAGCCCACATTCCCCAGCACCCATCACACTTCTCCATGTCTGTAATCTATAAACATTTTACTCACTGTTAGTCCCTTTACTTCTGCATGCTACTAATCTATAACGTTTTACCCATTTTTATTCCCTTTTGCCTACTTGTCCTTCCCCACGTAGCTACCCAATATACAGGACTGGCTATCAAGGGAATGGAGAGCAGGTTTTTCAGGGATGACCCTCTGCTCTCCCATACTGCTGGCAATATTGGAATAAACACTCAACCTTTTCTCTGCTTAATAGGCTCAAGTAGTGACAGGCAGCCTGGACCCATTCACTGTCCAGTTTCAGAAACACACACCCTGGTTAGTCAAGAACCAAAAGTAAAAAAGCAAAGCAAACGCCATTCTTCATTCTTGGGCCTTATTATTCTCTCATTAGAAACCATTTAACACTTGTATTGGTTTCAGAAGTTAAAAATGCTTTTGTAAAAAACACTTCAGATAAAGAACAAGCCCCAAAGAACCCTACATTCCATGCCAAATAAATAACTAAACTACCACATACCATTAAAAAATAGTTGAGTGCGCCCTGGCCAGTTTGGCTCAGCGGTTAGAGCGTCGGCCTGCGGTCCGGAGAGACCCGGGTTCGGTTCCCGCTAAGGGCATGTACCTTGGTTGCAGTTTGTCCCCGGCCCTGGTTGGTCGTGCGGGTGGCAGCCACTCGATGTGTCCCTTCACGTCGATGTTTCTCACTCTCTCTCTCTTCCTCTCTCTCCCTCCCATTCTATCTGTACAAAAAATGGAAAAAATATCCTCAGGTGAGGATAAAAAAAAAAAAAAAATAGTTGAGTGGCTGTGTATCCACTTTAGTGCTCAAGCCTAGACAAGCTTCCAAGGCTGTTTCCTGCCTTTACTATGTGGTTTCAGGGATTCCAATATCCTTGGTAATTAAAGCCATCAACTATCTTTTGGGGTTCTGTTCCCCTCTTAAACCCTCTCAGCTTCCCTCCTTTCCTTAAAATTCCTTAGTATTTTAAGAGCAATAGGACTAGTCATAGAGAAGGGATAATAAAACAACTATAATGTTCTGCGAAATGTTACAAAACTTAAGAAAATTTACAAGGTGACCCTCTAGATTGTGGACGAAAAGGGACCACATACTAAACCTGACAAGCTCAGTGAAGGCCTGAGTAGTGGCCTAAGTAACCATATAAGATGGCCTGACAATAAAACATTTTAACTAAAAGCAGTTTATGGTAGGTAGTCAAGTCCTAGGCTAGAATCTTCCCTGATAAAAGCCAGTCTTTACCTTGACTGAGCCTGTCTATTGTGTTTTGAATCTAATGATAACATACCTTTGGAATGTCAGAGTAACTCCCCTTTTCCCAGACCCCTTAGGACACAACCAATGGACTGGGGTGGAGACCACAAATCCTCTCACTGTTATTGTTAGCATGTTAATTGTTGACTGCTAACCATCCTGTACCCGTACCTATGTAAAAGATGTGTATGTCTATCATTTTACTTTTTATCCAATCCCAGAGGTTCCCCCTTTTGCTTTCTCCGCCTCCCTAATCTATCACCAATGGATTTCATGTAACCCACTTACATCTTCTCTTTTGATTGTAATGAGTAAATTAAGATGAAAAACTGCCATTCTCTGGAACATTTTCTCAATCTGTTGAGATTTTGCTCCCCGGCAATTTTAGCCAGTCTGGCTCAAACAAACTCACAAAAATCCTCTACAGGTCTGAATATTTGCCATGTTGACAAGATGAATGTCTAGTAGCAAATGGGGCCCATTATCCAATATTTACATATAAGGATTTCCTCATTACTTTTTACTGACCACTACTTACCCCTGCAATTCCTAAGTATTCAAATCTGCAACTGTTTATGAACTTTGTAAAAGGAAATACCATTCTGCCCTGGCTGGTTTGGCTCAGCGGTTAGAGCATCAGCCTGCGGTCCAGAGACCCGGGTTTGGTTCCCGCTAAGGGCACATACCTCAGTTGCAGTTTGTCCCCAGCCCTGGTTGGGTCATGCGGGTGGCAACCACTCAATGTGTCCCTTTCACGTCGATGTTTCTCTTACTTCCTCTCTCTGCCCCCCACTCTATCTGAACAAGAAATAGAAAAATGTTCTCAAGTGAGGATTAAAAAAAAAAAAGGAAATACCATTTTGCTCTAAGAGAATGATTGTAAGAAAAAAGATTTCTTCATCCATTTAAAATACTAATCTTTTAAAATACATATCTTTGCATTGGAATACTGCTACCAACAGCACCTGTACAAGACAACCTTTACTCTACAAAGGTACAAATAAAAGAATTATTAAGTTATGCAAGAGCAGGATCCATAGAATTCATAGTGCCCTGCTGGAAAAGAGTCATCCTGCAGTTAACTCACTATCATTTATAACCATGCTTTGTATATAGGCCAGAAGAAACCAGGGTTACTATTTAAAAACTTAGAAAAGTACACTCATTAATTGCCACCCAAAAACCAGTATGTTCTTTACTTAACACATGCAGAGTCTAAATGCTTGAAATAAGTATTTGATGCAATCAATTACAATAGCACAAATAAAAGGCTACCAAGTTAGCATGCCATTCACACATAATTGCTATTTTGCTATCAACCTAATCTTATACATTTAGAATTGCTTTGTTATTTAAAACCAAGATTATTAGATTAACATTTAAGTGCTTCTAACAAACTAGATCCCATGCCATATACTGCCCCAGAAGCTAATTTATACATAAAATCACCAATCACTGATAAAGTTAAACTAGTAGTACATACTGTAAAAATGTGGTTTTTCCTGGTTGTGGAAGGCACCTTCAAGCTTAGATTCTGCCAACAGCAACAGTAAAGGAATTATTTACTGCCATTAAAATCCCCCAAATCAAGACTAAAAGCTTCAGATTACAGATTCTTATCTAGTCAGTACTTCAATTGTCCAACTAACACAGCCACAAAAGAACAAATGTGCCACTATGTTTAGCCAAAAAAGGCCATCCTATCAACGCTATTCTACTTTTCATTAAGTCTTTTAAGTTTTATTCATATTAACCAAGAAGTAATATATAACAATCACTTTCAGAAATATTTCCCCTTTTAATAGGTTTTATACCTTGACTAAGACTAATGAGAGCCAATTTCAAGCATTACAAACCCAAATATTAGTATTACAATAGAAGATGGCATATGGTTGGCAGCAATAATTCCAGTAAGAATAAGGACCAGCTCTGGCCGGTTTGGCACAGCAGTTAGAGCGCTGGCCTGCGGACCAGAGATTCCCGGGTTCGGTTCCGCTAAGGGCACGTACCTCGGTTGCAGTTTGTCCCCGGCCCCAGTTGGGGTCATGTGGGTGGCAACCAGTCGATGTGTCTCTCTCACATCGATGTTTCTCTCTCTTCCTCTCTCTCCCCTTCTCGCTCTATGCAGAAATGTCCTCGGGTGAGGATTAAAAAAAAAAAAGAATATGGACTAAAGGCTTCCTCAAGGCAAAATAAAAACTCCGCTTCCTTGACTAGTAAACAGCCTGTTTATTAGATACCTTTGTCAGATGTCACTCCCAAGTCTACCAAGGAGGTGTAACAGCAGTTTGCCTTTAACAACAGAGTGGTCACTAACATGTAATCAATCAACTAAGAAAACTCTCACATCTCAGAAAGTAAATGAAAATTTACCAGATTTATTCTGTTATAGATACAGGTTTCCAAGGAATGCCACACATAATCAGAAACAAAACATTTCATCACACCCACTATCACATCAGCTTCCAAATGTTCCCATTTTTCTTTTCCTCTGTCACTCTTCTCCCCCCAACTCCAAACCCACCCACCTTCCTCTCAGCAGAGAGTATAAGTTACAAAACAAATTCCTTTCTAGTCATTCAGTCAGTGCTGAGGGAAAATAATTTTGATCACAGAATGCCTGATTTATTCATGAGCTTGTACAATACCTGGAATCATCTGTCACTTCTTCAATAAAGCCTGATTCACATCTGGGACAAATATATTCCTATAAAACAAAAAAATAAATTAAGTCTTTCGTTAAAAAGCTAAGTATGCAGGTTCAGAAAAACAAGCTGATTCTGTGCAATGTTGTATGTGCTTGCTCACTTCCAGGATAGTTTTTTTCTACTAAACTATGACAAACAACAAATTCAATAAGAGGTTTGCAGAAGAGCTTCATAAATGGTTCTCAAGGAGAGCTGAAAGGAAGAATGTCAAAGTTTTTTCTTTTACTTAATCTGGGTCAATTTTTTAAAACTGGAATGAATTCATTATCTAATTTTCTCTTCAAATCTAATGAAAAAGCTCCATTAGCGGTATCAGAGCAGTAAAAGATTATAATATTGATGAGTACAGAAACTATTTTTTACTATGTACATATAGGAGACAATCACAGCATAAATAAATCTGTAGACTAGGAATTTACAATGAAGATTTACAATATCTCTAATCTATTTTTTGACTACCAATGATTCCAAATAAACTTAATATTCAGATCCCAATTAGTCAAAGAATTAAAATAGATCTGGGAAACATATTCTTTTAATTACACTATGTTAACTAAAAATAACTATGCTTTTACAGAAAGGAACAAAAACTACAGTTTGCTGTAGATTAAAGAAAAAGTTTACGGCAAGGCCAAATGAGGTATTGGGAAATTCAGCAGCCACTCAGCCCCTCCTTCCTGAACATAACCTAAGATCTGATGCCTTCGATTTTAAAGCTCAGAAATCTACTTAAGTGGACCAAGAAAAGTCCTGTCCCTTAGATGAAGATTTACATAAAACCAAACTCACAGGCCATTTATTTAAAAACCTAGAATGTCAATTTACTTAATTGTAATAAAAAAGAGTTATCAAAGGGCCCATTTACTTTCACCATTCAGCACAATGTTTTTCGATAAGCAAATCTACCTGAAAAGTATCCTGGCATAGAGAAAAAAGCTTTGGGGTCAAAGACCTGAATTCCAATCTCAGGATTTCAATTAGATATTAAGTCTTGGGAAGTCACATTACCTTTCTGAGACTCAATTTCCTCATCTGTAAAATGATAGCTTGCTGTATTACTGTAAAGATTAAGATGTCTGTAAAATACCTAACTCAGTGATTGGCACATTAGATAGTAGACATTTAATAAAGATAGCTATGTTAGCCCGGCTGATGTGGCTCAGTGGATTGAGCGTCATCCCACAGACTGAGAGGCCCCAGTTCGATTCCCCGTCAGGGAACATGCCTGGGGTTGTGGGCTCGATTCCCAGTGGGAGGGAATGCGGGAGTCAGACAATCAATGTTTCTATCTCTCTCTCTCCCTTCCACTTTCTTAAAAAAAAAAAAAAAAATCAATAAAAAACATTAAAAAGATAGCTAATGTTAGGCAGACTAGATAGAAGAGGACAGGAGAGGAGTTTATCTCATCCACTGAACAAAGTCATCAGTCTTGGGACCTGCCAAGATAAAATCGGCCAGATGTTCTCATAAATTCTGGGAAAACCCACAACAATGTAAAACAGGGACCTTTAAAACTAGTCTCCTGCCCAAGATATCTAGCAAGAGAACCTTGAAACCTACAGTAGTGAGGAGTATAAAACCCCTAAACCCCCACACCAGGTGAGTGCTCAGAATAGGTGAGCTGCCTGCTTGTGTTTTATGCTAAGTATATTCTTTTTTTTTAATCCTCACCTGAGGATAGTTTTCCATTTTTGTTCAGATAGAGTGGGAAGGGGAAAGAAGAGAGGGGGAGAGAAACATCGATGTGAGACACACACATCGACTGGTTGCCTCCCGCACAACTCCAACCAGGGCTGGGGATGAACCACAACTGAGGTATGTGCCCTTGACCAGAATCAAGCCCGCAACTCACTGGTCCACAAGCCGACACTCTAACCATTGAGCAACCGGCAGGACTACACCAAGTATATTCTTAATAAATTCATTTGCATTGTTTCCTTAATAAACATGCTTGCTTTGCTTTAACACTGCTGTCACTTTTCTGAGTTCTTTCTCACAAGCATGATAAGAGCCGAAGAAGGGAAAGCCTTCTCTAACTCAAGTGGCTCTTCAGTAACAGCTATTATAACTAAGATTATAATCACTTGCTAGAGAGGCAGAGAATCAGGGTACTAAAACAAGTGGATATATATAGATTGTGTCATATCATGCTGGGATAGCCTAATATATTCATCCCTGGTATGAGCATCAATCAGGTCCTCAAAATCAAGGACCTGGAATTCCTCTCCCCCTGGACAACACCAGAAAAAGCACAATTAGTTTGCCTGACTCTTGTATTCTTTCAGTACTTACCCACAATCTGCACACCTTCTTCTAACAGACACATTATTTCTCTATTTCTCTTGAAATAATATAATACTATTACTTCTCTATATTTTCTTAGTTACAATCACAATTTCATCATGCCCTACACTGAGATCACAACTACATTGGATTTTAAGTGACAGCTAACTTTTCCTTTTAATTTTTCCACAATTTTTGAACTTCAATTTGAGAGAGTATCTATAAATTAAGGAGTTTGTAAAAGAAAAAGGAACCAAACCGTCTCGCTCTGCCTCTACACTCCCCCCATACCTAGGCCTTGGCCTGAGTGTATTACTGATATATCCAAATACAGAGTTTTGAATTTTTAGCATAAGGGGTTTGTGTTGGTGGCAGGGGAAAGGGCAAACCAATAATAATGAATTAAGCACCCATCATATGTCTGGTATTATGGAAATGTCTCCTCTGCTTAAATATTAAAAATCAAATCTTCAACACCACCCCCTAAATATTGCCAATGCATATAGCCACCACAATCACTGTCTTATCAATAAAATTTTATTAACTCACTTCTATCATACCATGTATAAAAAAGTATAACAAACCTAAGTTGTTTATCCAGAATCACTGGAAATGGGAATCCAGTTGTTTCCACCAAACTAAGCTGGTTTCTTCCTAGAGTCTGAAAATTTATTATATATAATTCTAGCAAAGATACTCAGCAGCAGGTATACTTGAAGGAAATGTTTCACTGCCTGTTTCATCTAAAAGTACCCACAAGCAGAAATATTTTTCATCATAAATAATCTGAATCAGGAACAACTCACTAAGCATAGCTTATTTTTTTGCCCTGATGCTTACCCACTTAGAAGAACAGCTCAAAAGGACAAAAAGCACTTGTAATACAGGAAAGAAAAGGAAAGGGTGACTGAAGAGGACCAAAATTTTTGCCTTTTTGAATATTGATTTTAAGCTGGTTATTAACAAAAAACTCAGAAAAAAATGTTTTGCTCTCCCCCTTGTCCTGCCCAAGAGATTCAGACAGAAAATCCTGCTCCAGAAAGAAATCTTACCATATTCAGCTTAGCTTGAATTAAGCATGGTAGACAGAAAGGTGTCAAGCAGGCTTGTTTACTAGATTACCTCATTTTTTGTGGGTTGCCTAGCAAAAATTTACCTGCCATGTATGTTCAACTCTTCCTCAATTAGCCTCTAAGTTGCTTGTTCTCACCTTAAAAAAAAAAAATCCTCACCTGAGGATATTTTTCCATTTATCTAGAGGGAGAGGCAGAGGGGAGATGTGTGGGGAGAGAAAGGGAGAGAGGGAGAAGGAGGAGAGAGAGAAAGAGAGACCGGGAAGAGGAAGAGAAACACAGACCTAAGAGCGAGACATCGACTGGTTGCCTCCTGCACGACCAGGGCCAGGGACAAGGTATGTGCCCTTGACCAGAACTGAACCGGCGACTCTTTGGTCCACTGGCTGATGCTCCAACTGCTAAGCCAAACCGGCCAGGGCTCACTCTTGAAATTTAAGATTCAGTGCCTCCCCCATTTTGTCCTGTCTAAAATCCAAAATGTCATACATGCCCAATTTTGGCTTTGAAATTTGTATGGTTATGTGAATTTGTCATGTGCGTGTATTAAAATTATTTTCTTCTGTTAATCCGTCTCTGTTAATTTGACTATTAGCCTAGCTAAAATAACTTAGAAGATGGGAGGGAAAGTATATGTTCTTAGTCCCTACATGGTTTTAATGCATTATTTTATTTTCCTTCTTATATTTCAAGGGATCAATTATCACAAAATGTAAGGGTTTGGCAGGACAATGAACCAGGACCAACCTATATTAAGTCCCACAGTGGAATTTATACACCTTTGAACTTTATACAAAGCTATATCTAACATTTATTCAGTATATAAAATATAATACAGACTATTTCCTAGTTTCATAGCTTTGTTTTTCTACCTGTTTACTATCAACATCTAAGTGTTTTTAAATTTTATCTAAAACAGAAGCCTATTTTGTCTCTTCTGACAGAATAAAAAATCTAAGATCATAATATTGCTACTCATAATCTCTAATTCATATTCTATCATATGGCAAAACTGTTCAGGAACTCCTAATTAAAAGGATTAATAACACAAAATGAAACAATCACTTGATCATAGGGCAACCCAAACTCACAAATCTAGGTCAAAGACTCTGCTTTTTCTAGAGACTTTTCCAATAATCCCTGATAATTATCCCTTTTCAATCCAGGTTACACTTCCTTTCAAAAGCATCAAGTGAACCCCAAAACTAGACAAGAAAAATTCTGAGTTCTGTTCCCAGTTCCACCTTCATGGTCTTTGTGAAGACCTGTTTCTCCACCTGTAAAACTAGAGCACGAGTGCTGTCCTTATTTGTCTCCCCAACTATCCAGGAAAACAAGAAAGGCATGAATTCATGTGGCCCCACCACTCACTTAAAAGGACAAGTTTCTTGTTTAAACATTTTGAAATTAGCTCCCTAAACACAAAAAAACTTAAGCAATTGCCCCCCCCCAACCCCCCGGCTACTAATCAGGAAGAAAACCAGTTTACAAATAAATAAAACATTAGGCCACAGTTTTAATATACAAAGATATATATATACAGTTTAAATAGGCTTTGAAGAGCTATGATTCATTTCCAGGCCATAACTGTCTTGATATTTATGGTCTCACTCCCTAAGAATAGTAACATTTACAACCTTCAT